TTATTTATTTTTGAGAAATGTGTTAATGAAAAGCTCTAAATTTTTACATAGCATGAAAATATATCGCGTTTTCGGTATTTTCGTATGAATCTTTAGTTCCCTCTGACTTCTTCTGAGGCAAACCGACGGAAATTCAGAACCAACTGCTCCCATAAAAACAGCTGGCGTTGTGAGGTGGCAATATTACTAGTGACTAATCGAATGGTGGAACAAAGTCAACCCACCGGCCACAAACTGGTTAGAGATCTACATATTTTAAATAAATAACTGCATAATCCTGTATGTATGTACGTATATATATACTGATCGTTTTTGGTGAAGAAAGTACGTAAGAGTCCGCTCCGTTTTATGCATACTTATAAAGAAAGAAGTATGGTTGTGGGTGCAAAGGCAAAGAGATTAACTTTTTATACGATACATCTCTTGCTCAGACATCATACATCTAACTCTTCAAGATGTTTGGCTTGACACATTTTGACTCCTCTACCTTAAAAACAAGGCTGAGAGGCACTGAACCATAGTTTTATTCAGCTTAAGTGAACATAGCAATGCATTTCGGCAGAAATATGGTTATTCTGTTGTAACAAATATGTAATCCACACACGCACTGTGTGGAGTAACTTCAAAAGAATTCGTAGATGCGTTTATATTTCCGCATAATTACAAATTACATATTTTTATTATATATTGATTGCTTAAAAAACCACTGTCGACACACGTGCCATTCACTCTTGTCCGATGCTCCAGTGGCTATCAACAGCTGCGGCATTTTCGTTGCCTACATTCTTACCGCGCTTGCTTCCGTCTGCTTTTGATATATGTATGTATCTTTGCAAATTGGGTTTTATTTATATTTTTCCTGATTCTCTCATATTGAGTGCTTGATGTGTGAATGAAATTTCACAGGTGGCTGACCAGTGAAATGACAGTCTATGCGAAAATGGCGGGGTATTATTTATTAGGAGTTCGCTACTTAGTTATTTATAAATATTTTTGCTATTTTGTTTGTTTGATATATGTAATTGACTGACATTTTATTTTGCACATATGTATGTACTATTTTTTATATATTGTCTTAATACCTAACGTTAGTCAGTTACATTTTTACCAAACGATTCTAAATGACATTGTTGTAGCAGATGCAACCTCGAAATTATAAGTTAATTTTTATTACATGTCACTCAAATGAGAGCGCTCATGTTTTAAATGAAGACAGAGTGTTCTGTCAACACCTTTCTGACAATGTTAAATATTCTAAGGGCCCTTTAAAGTTTCTTAGAGATATCATGATTCACAACTGGTTTCAGTATTTTCTTCTATATTCAGTAAATTTTGCGAATGGCTGAATACATTTCACATCCAATATACTCTTATAATAATTTTGTTTATATTTTCGCTAATTACATAAAACGCCGGCATGCTTGCCATTGCAGTTATTCAATTTTCTGGTTGAGCTTTGATAAATAATATAAACAAACTAATATACGATGGAACAAGCATAAGAGCTGTTAAATTATACATCTACAAATAAAATGTGGAAGTGATTCTCCGCCATTGGTTTCTAGTTAAAAGAGAAGAAGTCTGAAAGACGAGAAAATTTAAACAAAAAATTCTTACGTACATATACATTAAAATAACCAATGAAAATAGGTCCATAGGTTCATAGAAAAAATGTGCAGAAAATCTTTTTAATATAAATGCTTACAAAAAGTTTTCTAAAAAATTAAAAAAAAAAATCGGTATAAATATCGAAAAATGTATAAGCAATATATAAAATTATATAAGTATCGAAAAATATGTAGGTGGGTATAATTATTGAAAAGTTTATTGATTACATTTTTGCCGAACAATTTGCGGAAGACATCTAAATCTATGAAAAAATGTATGAAAAACTGTATTGAAAAATCGATATAATTAACGAAAAATGTAATCAATAAACTTATATATAGATTTGCCGAAAAAATATATGTATTTATATCAAGAAATTAATCGTTCTGTTGTTGTTGTTGTTGTTGTTGTAGCAAAGAGTTTTTGGGGAGTGTTGCTGGAGTGACAGTCCTTGGCCAAATATAAATCTGGGTCGTTCCGGTTACGTAGACCCGACTGTCGTGGAATCGTTCTGTCATGGATGGGGGTCATACAATTTTTAGTCATTGTTTTCAGTGTCGCTATCGACATTTTTTAAATGAAGTTTTTATTATTATAATTAATTTCTAATCTTAATATTTTAATCTGCTCGTGCACTTAATTTGAAAACCTTATTTTATGCAACCGATAATTTTTTTATGTAATCGAGTTTTATGAAAAATATTTAGTTATTTGTAGGAATAATTACTCAAAATACTTACATTTACCTACTTCATTCTCTTTCAGGGAAAATGCCTCTGCGGTCAGTACATTCGCGCACGGCTTCGACGTGCTGGCGTACTAAATCGCAAAGCGACACAGCGTTTGCGCACCATATTGGAACCCTCATCGGCGGTGGTGTATGAAGTGTTTCCGGCATTGAATAGTGTAAGTGCATACGTACATATATATGTATGTATGTAAGTATATAGAACACACTTCACATTTCTTTCATTAAATACAATTTTAAATGTTTTAAATACAATTAAAGCTGTACTCAATTGTTTGCCTATGTTCACTTTCAGATGGGCGAGGAATTGGAACGCATGCATCCGCGTGTATATACAAATGTATCACGTCAACTGTCGCGTGCACCCTATGGCGAGTTGGTCGATGGTGACGCAGCGCCAATGCTGCTCAATTTGGTGGCCAAAGATTTATTTCGTTCGAATATTACTTGGGGCAAAATTATTTCCATATTTGCTGTTTGTGGTGGCTTTGCCATCGACTGTGTACGTCAGGGACACTATGAATATTTGCAACTTCTTGTCGATGGCATTGCTGAGATAATCGAAGATGATCTGGTGCCTTGGCTGGTCGATCACGGCGGTTGGTTGGGTCTGCAACAACACATCCGCCCACATGTGCGCCGCTTTTCTTTTTTGGGACTGTTGACACTTTTCGTAGCCGTATCATCCGGTGTTTATGTTGTAACTAATGTGGCGAAACATATTGGTTGTCATTTGTACTCGTTGCTGTTTTGAACGGAAACGCGCGATAGTCAATGGAAGTGTGGGAAGTTGGAGATATGAGAAATAGCGAAAATGTGACATGTAGGAGAGGAAATAATGTAGAGAGTTATGTTTTATTGCAATATTAAATATTATCGTTTTCTTTACTTGACTAAATACATATGTAAATACATAGTATAACTTTAAAAATAATTCTGCTTTTCATACATTTAGTGAACTGGCATTGGTATCGTTACCATTAGAATATGTAATTTTAAACATTTATGCAAATACCTATCAATTTCATTCCTGCGCAACTAAGAGATAATCATATGTTTAATCCAAATAAGTTTCCTTTTAATTTTAAAACTTACATACATACATACATGACAACTGACAAACACCTATTTAAAGTTTGTATAAACCTAAATATTTTGTTAATTCATTGTATTTAATACTTGCTTTAATTATTTAGAGAGACTAAAGAAATAAAATTAAAATTGATCAGAAAATTAATTTAGTGTCATCAGAGGTAACGAATTTTTTTTTTCTGATACAAGCATCAATTTGAGTTGATTATCTTTATTTTATAGTAATCCAGTATTTAGTCAAAAGTCGTTCTTGGACACACATTTTTATTTTCAGTTATATCTGCCTGACAAAATCTGACTTTTTCTGACTAAATCCTGGAGTACTGGCACAGACTAATACAAGGGCCACTCAGAATTCTTAAATTCGAAAATCTTGACTGTGCAGAAAATTTTTACAATATTTTTCTTGCATTTACTTTTCTTAAAAGTTAAATATTCAAGTTTTCTGAATATTTCTTAAAACTTTTTTTCATTGTAGCTTTCTAAAATCTTAAGGTGGGAATTTGGTTTTCTAATTACATCTTTAATAAATGCAAAAGCTATAAAAAGCTTACAATCACGGTGGTGATAGCTATTTAGGCGTTTTGTTTAGAAAAAAATTCCTGAAATATTAATTACTCAAGAACAAACTCCTTTCCGAAACAAGGCATTATTTTTACCCTGGGATTCAGTAATTCAGTCTCATCTCAAGTCACTAAATTTGAGATTAGCAATTAGTGTCTATTTTAGGCTGGCAGCCGAGAGGGTCCGGGTTCAAGTCTTCCTCGGGCGTAGAGGATTTTTAATTTTTTTTATTTAGTATTTTTTTAATTTTTTTATTAGTTTTATTTTATTTTTTAACAATCTTTAGATTTTAATGTTTTAATAATAAAAAAATTAATTTTTTTCAATACATTTGTGTTATATTAAAGTAATTTGGTTTATTTCCTAATGAAATTCTTGTTGAAAAAATTTCCTCGCTTCATTTTCTCGTTTTTTCTAAAAAAAATGGAAAGAAATAAGCTTTTCCTCCATACTTCTATTTTTGTGACCTGCTCTTAGCCAGCTAACAAATTAGTGACTTATTTTTGGGACTAGGGACGTGAGACAGCGTACTGAATACCAAATAGTCTCAAAATCCAAGTTTACCACCAAAAGTCACTATTAGTGACTAGAGACCGGTTACTGAATGCCAGGGTTAGTGTGGGGAAAAAAATGGCGACCGGAACTTGTCTGTGCCTATTCCGGCCATTTATGTGCTTCCATCCTTGTCTAGGGGAGTGCTAACTTGCTCTCCTTTCTAAATACACAGGTTTCACGATTTTACAAAATCTATTTCAATATATTACTTACGGAAAAAGCTTCTGCGAATTGCAAAGATATCATTCCAGCCAGAAAATACAAACAAAGCCGAAAGATGCAGAGTTGCAATTGCATTTTTAAAAATTATTTTATCACAAGTAGCGCCCTCTGCCGTTTTATTTGTGTTTTCTGATTGGAGCGGTCGATTTTGCACCGATCAGAATGACGGGAAAATGAAAAAAACGCAAATACTGTCGGTACAGCAGAGCATTAGCGGTGAGCAGTGCAGTGCAAGAAGCAGAGCGGAGCTCGTAAAGATTTTCAGATTCCTATCAATGTGAATTTTTTTATTTAAACTAGTGTAAAAGGAATTTGATACAGTTTAATTACAAATTAAATTGTGCCAAAGTAGCCGCAGAAAATAGTGCAACTTGTAAGTTTTCAAGCAATGTTGAATATGCTCAAATAAAAAGTTCTAAAGTAAGATGTATGTATGTATATACGTGAGAATGTACTGTAGGCAGCGAAAGAAAAAGTGATGACGGTGACAATTTTAATTGGTCCACAGCTTTTGATGGGTGCCCCATTGAGCTCGACCTTATTTGGAAGCTGCGTTTAAATTCTGTTGATAACTCTTCACACATTTTGTATAATTTCATGATCAATGCAAAGGCTTGATGTGTCCCCAATAATTAAATTTGCTGAGCCTGGAAGCACGCCACGTACTTACATACCTTAGCACATATGTAAGTATGTACATACATATATCGCATTTTGACGTTAGCTAATGAAAAGCGGCTTAAAACAACTTGATCAAAATAATAATATTTAACAGCTGACCCACTTCAGTTACTTGCGGCATTAATCACAACCTTTTTAAAAATTGCAGATTTCTCGTTGGTGCTAGCTTGTTTGCTTGTATAATTTTCGTTCTAAGCGTAATTATATACTTGCAGCGATATGAAAGTGAAAGAATTGCAGAAGACTGTAAATATTGCTTGGTCGCCGTTGCCACAGTATCCAATTTACTTGGCAGCGGGCAGCGCGGCGCAGCAACTCGACTCCAATGTCAACCCAACATTGGAAATTTACTCAACGAATTTTAGCGATCCGAGCTATGACTTGGAATTGAAAGCGAGTTTACCCAGTCAATACAGGTAAACGTTTTTATAATAAATTTGCATGCACATGTACCTACTAAATTTAGAAATACATGTTTTTTAGATTCCAAAAGGTTATTTGGTCTCCTACTGGTTACGATGGCGCACACTCAAATGGTCTCATTGTTGGTGGCTGCGAGGGTGGTCATGTCATGATTTATTCTGCTGCCAAAATGCTCGCTAATGAGGAAGGACTTATTGCACGCCAAGATAAGCATAGTGGTCCGGTCAGCGGTCTTGATGTTAATCCATTTCAAACGAATTTGCTCGCCTCATGTGCCTCTGAGTCAGAGATATTTATTTGGGATCTCAACAACACAACTACTCACATGAATCCTGGCACTAAAACGCAACCACTCGAAGATGTGCAAAATGTTGCTTGGAATCGACAGGTGCAGCACATACTTGCCTCTGTATTTAGCTCACGTTGTGTCATTTGGGATTTGCGTAAAAGCGAACAAATCATTAAACTTTCCGATACACAATCACGCGTTCGTTGGCATGCCATACAATGGCATCCAGATGTGGCTACGCAAGTATGGCTTGCTTCAGAAGATGATCAAGCGCCTGTAGTGCAGCTGTGGGATTTACGTTACGCCACTGCGCCGGCTAAGACCATGCAAATACATCAACGTGGTGTGCTTGGCATGTCATGGTGTCCTCGCGATGTTGATCTGATGGTATCGTGTGGCAAGGACAACCATATATATTGTTGGAATCCAAATACTGAATTGCCTGAAGGCGAAATACTTTCTGAAGTAGCAGCCACAGCCACTTGGTATTCGGATGTGCAATGGTGTCCACGCAATCCTGCATTGGTCGCAAGTGCCAGCCTTGACGGCAATGTCTCCATTTACTCACTTTTCGGTGGCACACAACAGCAGGTGCAAACATCCAATAAAATAGCTGACTCTTTCCCGGGTATGGATCAATTAGCACAGGCACCTATACCGCAGCAATCTACGCAGATAGTGTATCATGACCTGAAGCGGGCACCGAAATGGATTAAAAGGCCATGTGGTGTAGCGTTTGGTGTAAGTTGCCATTCAAATCTGCAATATATTTAATCTACATTTGCTTTTAACTGCAGTTCGGTGGAAAGTTAGTGCACTTTAAAGGCAAATCGAATCAAGTTCAAGTGTCGCAAGTAGTCACCGAACCGGAATTAGTAGAACGCGCTAATGTGCTCGAACGCTCTCTTAACGAAGCCAACTATGTTGACTATTGTCGTCAACGCGCCGATCAAATGACCGATCAGAATGGGCGCTATTTGTGGTATTTCATAAAGGCCAATTTCGAACTCAATCCGAAGGAGGAATTGTTGAATTTACTCGGTAAATACGGCTGCAAGGAGAAGGTTCATTGGTATTGATTATGAATAGATTTTTTTAGGTTTCAACAAAGATGACATCGATGGCAAATTCGCAAAGTTCGTGAAGGAAGATGAAACGCTACAAAATGATGTGGATCAAGTGACCAATCGGCTAGCGAATCTGTCGCATGTAAGTGTATATATGTATGTACATATATGAAGAAAGTTGTATAAAAATTAACATTTTTAAGATTTACATATCGCACACTATCTTCAAAACTGACTCAACTCAAAATTTGGTATTGTTGAAATTATGCACTAAAAATGTACACGGAGCCTTTATTTACCTTTCGCAAAAGCTGTAGTAAATTTGTTGAAAATACCTTAGGTAAAGTCCCCATACCCGTATGATTAACATGTGCTAAGAAATAGTTTTCGCATTTTCGGGCGAACGTGTAATTTTGAGTTGTGTCAGTTTTGAAGATCGTTTACAATATGTATTTGAGAGGAAACTTACCACTAACTACTACAATTTTAAGAAATAGACAAGCAGGTCCAATGTATATATATATATGTATATATTGCTGTACAGCGAAGTCTTTTTTTTTAGTTTTCAAACATATGTACTATGTATGTACATACATAGTTATTGTTTCTATTTTTTATTCAATTCAATACTCCATTAAAAATGTCTCTTATCTACAAAACTCATGTTCAACATTTCTTATCTTGCATTCAGCTTCCAAAACTAGCAGCACAATTGTCGGTTGTGTTTAAAATGTATAAAAAGCTGTGGTCATTAAGTTAGTCTTGCCGCACGCAAAATCTACGCAGCTGCCTTTTTGTGATATAAAGTCCATCTACATAAATAATTTTGAATTTTTTGTACTTATTTTTCATTTATTTAATATATCCCACGCATATGCATAAATTAATAAAAGTACTTATTCCAAATTTCATTTCGTAAAATGCATCATACTGACTCGCTTATTCATTTGCAAATCGTTAGAGCGACTCGTCGGAAGTTGAATGTGATCAAAGTACTGATGGCAGTACCGATATTTCGGTAAGCACTCTTTTTATTGCTAGGTGATTGCGTGTTTTAGATGTGTATTTGATAAAAATAAACGTATACATATATACACTTATCGATAAAAAAAAAGTCATACAAAAAATCCTATCCTAAATTTTGAAATTTGATTTGTAGTTACTTACTGGGTGTTGTTATTTGAAGTAAATGCCACACTAAAAACCTTCCTTTATGCATCGAACTTTTTTTTACCGAGGCCCCTAAATAATACCTACACAGTATATTATATTCCTTTTCTTACTTAAAACTCATTTTAGGTTTTATGCCATACATACGTATGTACATATGTGCCCAACCCCCCCTATGTACCTACATTCGTGCGTAAATGCTTTTCGGTGTTGTGGCTAAAGTATATCAATTACAGATGTACATAGATATTTTTACGTACAGACTTTTTTTATTTACTAAATATACTTATCAAAATGTTATAATGAACCATGATTCATAAAAAATAAAATTACAGCAACCAGTGGATAATAACGCCATTTTCGATGGCATTGCGGCCTCCCAAAAGCAGCAGCAGCTCGACAATGAAAACTTGGCGAAGCCAGCAAAGCAATTCATCATACCCAAAGGTGAACGTAAGTAGAAATATTTCAGTTTAACACTTGCAACAAGGTAATAATATTTATTATTCTTTTCTACAGATCCAGATAGCCTCATAACGGAAGCTATTCTCACCGGTAACCTTGAGGCTGCTGTCGAACTTTGTCTTGACTCACATCGCACCGCCGAGGCACTAATTATCGCCTCCACTGCAGGCATAGACTTTCTCACTAAAATACATAACCGCTACTTGCAGCAGCAACGAAGCGAGCTATCCAATGTGATTAGCGCATTGGTAACACGTGATTGGTTAGACTTTGTTAATCGTTGCACCGTGGATTCATGGAAGGAAGCTTTAGTGGCTGCACTTAAACATAGCGATCGCAAAGTGGTTGATATTTGCGAGCGTTTGGGCGACCGCCTACTAGAAGAGCGTGCGCAAAGCATTGATTTTACACGCAATGCTATGCTATGTTACGTATGTGCGGGTAGTATTGATAAGTTGGTTACTGCCTGGCATCAACTGAAGGCGCTGGAGCATCAAAATGATACTTATAAGCCAAATACGGCTGAGCTGCAGGAATTGGCCGAAATCGTAATGTTAATGAGCAAATCTTTGGATCAGCAGGGTATCGCTTTGGAGTTGAATGGCCGTTTTGCAGACTTCATAACAGAGTATGGTGGTCTATTGGTGGCGCAGGGTGCGCTTACGGCGGCCTTAGCCTACATTTACGCCTTCGGCTCGGGTAATAATGACCAAAACGTAGAACTGGTGGAGCTGCGCGACCGTATCTATAATACGGTCAATTATAGGCCAGCAGCAGCGCAAGGAAGTGGACGTTTATCATATCAGCAACAGCAGCCACAAAATATTTACAGTCGACAGCAGCAACAGCAGCCACAAAATTTGCCAGCAGCGCGCGGCTCATTTTCACATGCGTTGCCACAGACAATGGGTGGTTATGTAGGTACTGGTGCAACGAATCAATTCGCTCCTACATCGGCTGGTAATTGGAACACACCACCGGGCTTGTCACAGCCTGGCACCGCCGCTGCTGTTTCGCAACAACCGGTTCCAACACTTTTTAATCCCGTTGCACCAGCCGTGCCAGCGCCAGCTGCAGCGAAACCACCACTTCCGGGCGCACCAGTGCCAGCGCATATAACAAATGACGCTCTGCATTCACAGCCGCCACGTCCAGTTAGCAATGCCAGTTCACAGGGTGGCAGCAGCGGAAATTTGCACTCGCGCTCTAAATATGTGCTCGATCCATCGGTGGCATCTGCCGGTGGCTATGGTGGTGGCGGTTATCAACCACTAGCGCCGGCACCAGCATTAGCACCCGCTACAATGCCCACTTTCAATGCAAGTTTGTTTAATGCTCCAATAACGGCTACACCGGGGCAGCCAAGCCTGATGCAACCAGCGGCGCCATTTAATGCTGGTGCACCTTATGGACTGAGCGGCGGCAACAACTACAATGCGGCCTTCCCAGGAGATATAGGTAGTCAGCAGCAGCCGCTATCACCACAACAACAACAACCACCGCCACCAGCACAGAACTTACACCACAATCCAACACCGCCACCAGGCTGGAATGACCCTCCTGCATTGAAGTCAACACGCGCGGTAAGCTGAGGGGTTTTGAAAACCAAAAAATTTATAACGTAAATTAAGATAGAGGAAAGCAAAATGCTAGCTTTGAAGCTAGAAAGATTAATTAGCTTATTAACTGGTATGTAAATATCTCTCACTTAGCCACTGCAAAATTGCAACAATGAAATGTCTGCACGTCACGCTGGCACACGTCGCTGGCAAAAAATCATAAATCACGAAAAGGACAATCCAAATGCGCTCTTAAAACCACCAGCTCAATTTAGCTATGAACAGTTTTGTGCTAACTCTTCGCACACAAGTGCCATGTCCATACCAGAAATCTGTCAGCAGGTACCAAATGCATTTGAACACCTTTGTCGTTTTCATTTTCGCTCGATTACGTTTTCCGCTACATCGCAGAATTGGATTTCCGTTTCTTTGATTCATATGAATAACCCGGAATGCATCGTTCCTTAGAGTTAGTCGATATTTTTGTGAATACCGTGACCTTGCTTCTACAACAAATTTTGTGGCTACGGAAAGTTTTATTGCCACAATTCATTTGTCGCACTTCCTCAACTACATAGCCGTTCTGCTTTCCCATTACTAATCAGAAGTTATTGCATTAAATTGTTTGGTTTATATGTGTATTATTATTTTAGAATTTAGTTTCATCATCATTTCGCTTTTCGTACTAAAAAACTCTTCCTCCTTCCCAAACAGAACAAAAAACCAGATCCTGCATCCGCTTCTGCGCCCATAACTCATCCCTTATTTGGCGTTGATCCAAATCAGAACCAAAATCAAAATGGTTACATGGACCCATACAACCAATACCAGGTAAAATTCAACTAAAAAAATGTGTGCGTTATTCTGCATTCGATTGCTTGTTTTTAGAATCCTGGCATGCCTCCACCACCAACAAGCAGCAACAGTAATCTACTAAATCATATGCAAGGCGCCGGTCCAGGTGTTTACTACAATCCAACACAAGCGCAAAACAACAACATGCCAACACAACAATTTCCCCAACAAATAAACTTCCAAACATCGGCCATACCACAGCAGCAGCCATGGAATACACAAACACAAAATATGGGTTACACCGAACAGCCAGCGCCAGTGCAGAGAGAACCGGAACCGCCAAAAGAGAAGCCACCACTTTCAGAAGAATATATATACCTGCAAACAGTGTTGGAGGAGCTGAAAAATCAGTGTTTGGCAGTAACTACTGATCCGGTGGGTATACAAAATGATGTATTAAATTAATGCTCCTTGGAAAATGCACTAAGACAGCATTTGAGGTACACAAAGCTCTTGACTTAATACTAAGTACCTGGAATGCATTTAAAAAGATTCCAGATTTTTCTGATGTCTTCTCAGTACTTAGATTAATGATAGAAGGTGAAAACTTAATGTTGTTACTAATGACTGCCTAAATAGGTGACATTTTATAGCTTGAAAGAGCTAAAAACAATTGGGTCCGGCGGGATTAGACTACATTATTAAGGTCCTCAAACTGTGGATTACCCCACTCTCGCCAATCCTGATTTATTGGGATCAGGGAGGGTGGTCTCACTTTAAAGCCTAGAAAACCTCCAAGAAAGGGCAGTCCTGTCGGTATCTCTATTAATTTAAAAGACGAACCCATCAACGCAACAATATTGCTGATCATTTGATTAAAAGATTAGGATCTGTGCAGGGCTAAGTAGCAGAAGCAATAACACTTAGGATAAAATTAGGCTCGTAAATCCGCATTACTGCCGTCTGTCAAGGCACAATTTTGATCAGATCGATTGCGCCGTTAATCTGGATCAACGTTGTCTATGCTTTAACCCTCAGTTAAATAATCGTCTTTAACATTTAAATTTTTACTCAGAGAAGTTATTGAAAAATCAGTTGTGGTCTCGGTAGTCTCTTTTGGACTGTGGATTTTATTTTCCAATCGACATTTTCATTTGCTATGATCTCTGATCAACAATTTTTATTTCAGCGTACCAAACGAAAATTCGTGGATGTTACTAAACGTTTGGAAAACCTTTACGACTGTTTACGGGATGACAGAGTGAGTACATTGGATACAACGATACGTTTTTGGTATTAAATAAATTATTAAATGTTCGTTCTATTTTCCACAGCTTAATCCGGCAACAATTACAGCTCTCAATCAAATAGTACAGTTCGTTCAAGTGGGCGATTATGCCAATGCCTTGCAAACACAAACACAAATCGCATTCGGTTCGGATTTTTCACAATGTGCTGGCTTTATGCCCGGCTTAAAGGTGCTCGTGCAATCGGCGGCTGATTTGCAAGTGTATCTACGATAGATTATCACGAATATGTCGCACTAGGAGAGCTAAACATCAGTTGGAAAGTTACATATACATATGTATAATATGTAATTAAAATAATTCCATAATTTTATAATGATTATGTTCAATGGATTATATCAATTTATGTATTGTTTCGCAAATAGGTTTTTTTGTCAAAAGATGTATTTTTTTTATCACATCTATAGATACATATCGACGGTCCTGTGCAATAACGACGCAATTCAAAATTCAAAAAACAAAAACTGTTACTACTGTTAAGTGGCTCTTGTCTCTAATCATTGTCGTTATTGCATAGGACCATCGATATGTGTGTATGTATTTAACATTAATTCTGTTTCGTGTTTCTGTTTTTTGCAATTTGTAATATATAACGGTTTTTCTTATCGTAAATTTATATATATACATAATACATACATATATATTCGATTGATATTGAAATACTTTAACCTATGCGTGGTGAGTACAGTATATAAAATTATTTAAAAGAATAGAAACTAATAAAACAATCTGTGCTTTTATTCGCAACATAAAAAAAAAATTAAAGAGTGATCAAACCGAGTCCCCTTTCAGTCTTACTTTCAAGTCTGCTCCTGCAAGGCGAAGGAGGTAAGACGAGTGTACTGTTGTTGTTGTGTACTCTTCCCCTCTCCTTTCACCTACGAACCGAACAGAGTTGAAAGCAAAACTTCACGTGTCTGAAAGCCGACTTACAAGGTGGTATCAGAGAACGTTTAAAACAGAGAAGCAGCAATTACGAATAGCCGTGTGAATTGTCAAACACTACCAAAATCGCTCTAGAAGCTCACCACTCGAATCGAAAATTGAGAGAGGAAAATTAACAGATCTGAGCGGCAAGTTAACAGAGCTGAGCGGAGATACAATTTTGTTAATTTGTATCAATGTTAGTTAAGTGCTTTGGTTTGGATTTTCTTTTTCGCTGCATTGATTTAATAAAAAAAAAGATGAAAATTCTTGGTTAAATTAATGAAAATTAATTTTCGAAAATATATGCCAGCGAATGCTTTAAATCCTAAACGTAGATTTGTTATCTAATAAATATGTGAAAGCTATGGAAATATGCAAACTCATTGGTGATTTGCCGTCGGCATTTAGGTCGACAAAATCGTTTTTTTTTTTAACGATTCTTATTGTAGTTGCTACGCTAT